GCGTGGGGGGGGGGGTGAGGGAGAGTGTCGCGCCACGGGGCCCCGCTTGTTTCGCGATGTAGTGGTGGTGAGCGGTGATGTTGGCACTTCCTAACGCGAAATGCGTGTTTCATGTGCCGTACACGCTGTACTCGTAAAGCTGGGTTCCGTGCGATGGCAGCGAAGGATATGTTTGCCCGCGCAGCTTGGTGGAGTGAGTGGGAAGTGGGCCTACAGGACAAACGTACGGCGTACTGCACGTACGACAACACGGTGTCTGTGGACGTGTGTGAATGTGCTCTTGCGTTTTGTCGGTTGTTATAATAAAAGCTGCAGCAAAGCTGTCTGTCCGTCTGTCGGTCGGTCTGTCTAGTGCTAGATGCGGTAGGAAGGTAAACCGGTCAGTGCCATGACGCGCGCTCCCCCCGGCGGATGGAACCTAGCGATGAACTCAACGGGGCCGCAGACGCGACAGAAGTGAATAGTTAAATTTAGAGAGGCATCTACAAAAGTGCGACGAGGGTGGAGAAGGAGGCGGTATGTGATCACCACTCCACCCATGGAAAGGTGCTTGTCAACGAACACGAACACCGTTGAGTGATCCAGAGTGCTGTGATGGAGGTATATGCATATCGGGATTCGCGAAGCTTCATGATCCGTCACCGTCCGCAATCGCACGCCGCCGGGAACGAAGAAGTAAGCAAGCTAGCAAGCAGCAAGGAGCTGAGCGCAGCTTGCCGCCGAGTGAAATGATGCTGCCTCGAGCCCGCGGCCCCCGCACGATGTGGAATGCACACCAGGCGGCTCAAGCACACACAGCTGGCAATCAATGCAAACAGTTGAATAGTTGCACTTTATCAACGTGAGAGACATGAAGTCATCGGATTCGTGGTAGTGTGCCCTCACCCGGCCCTACCCTTTCACGAAGACGTTCTTTCCTTGCGTGCAGGTACTTGTTTGTAACGTAGTCTTCGCATGAAAACTCCTAAGGCCTGAGGATGAGGGATAAGATGTATGGCGCACTGCAATGCTACTACGTCCTACGGGGCGTCCAGGAAGCGATCTCGATATTTCACAAACGTTGCAAAAGTGGTGTAGGGGCCGCGCCGCGGCGGGCGGCACCCAGCGGCAGCCCAAAAATTTTCGCGTTTGGGGGAACCGCTGGATGGACACACCGGGGCGCCCAGGATCGTTTATAGAAAGGAATCGATACCAGTAGATTGTCCTAAGCGAGATATAATCGAGGTTTGTGTGCGCGAGCGGAAGCAGAATCAGAGTTTTGTCCTGAGACCGTAGGCCCAGGTGTGGTTGTGAGCCTGATGTGAGCAGAGTTTTACTGCCTCTTGGCCACTAGGCCCACTGTCGGGTTGGAACCTAGCCGGTTGTTGACAAGATAAAATGGGTGGGAGTCATCCACGCCAAGTGAAGGCGATACCCGTTACAAACTGCCTTGGCCGGTGCGTCCTGCTACCGTGCGCGGGAGTTGTATGATTGGAATATCCCTTAAGAAAACATCGGTCAGGCCGTGCCTTATATATGGCAAACGCGCCCGCCATTCGTACAATTGTCGTATGGTCAACGTAAAACGCAACTACCCTTTTCGCGCAGCAGCTACTTCATTACGCAACGGTAGTTACCGGTTTACGCAGCTCCGGGCAAGGTTCATGGCGGCCAACGGAAATTGACAAGAAACTAGTAAAGGATATTGTCGTCGTAGTTCCGACGTTAGACGTGAACGACGATAGTCGTTCCGTCGTCGGAACGGAGACCTTACCCCGACTTTTTGTCCGTCCTGTGTCCGTCTGTTCGTATATATTCAATTCAACGCGCACCGAATCGCGCAATTCAACGCGCAGCCCAACACACAATTCAACGCGTAAACTGTACGGCCTTTTGTGAAGCTGTCTTGTTCACGGGCGTCGGCTCACTACAGTAGGATTGCACCGAGGATATACGCATCCGATGTAATTCTTTTCACATACGGTAGCGCGGCTTAGCGCTGAATTACATGAAAGCTGGTGGCTGTAGACTAGTCGGTGGCGCCGCCAACGTAAGCTGCACGGCCTTTCACGAAGCTGGCCTATTTACGGGCGTCGGCTCGCTACCCGATTTCCTGCTATTCACGTACGGTATTGCGGCTGAAGACGGAATAGCCGCGTTATAGCCACGCAATAGTCACGTTATGACGGACAGAACGAACGGCCTGGGATTCGTGGTCGCGAGCGCCTGGGTACACTGGCTGGCGGCTTTCTCCCTACAGGATTTCGTCCGGCGCGGTTGCCACCTCGGCCTGCGCAGCACCACAGTCCGGGGTGCGTAGTCGTGAAACGAGTCATCAAGCAGTTTTTGGCAGCAACAAAGCTGGACCCCGACCTGGCGGCTGAACTGCGCCTCCTCAACCGCCCGTGACCGAAACCCGTGAACGCTATGCGACCGATTATGAACACGCCTGGCACCTGGAGGAGTGTTGGACCACTGCAGCCACCACCACCTGACACAGCGAACAGGGACTTCGTGGTTAATGGTCGCGATGATACTGTTTGCTGTGTCACCACACCGGGCCATGGCCGTTGTCGGGCGGTTCACAGGTGTGCAGTCAATGAGCAGGCCGTGCGCTTCGACTTCGTTGTTGTGGCAGGCGCCGGCGTCGGCGGCGGTGGTGTCGAATAGGGTGTAGCGTGTCCCTTCCTAATACCAGGTATCAGCCGTTCTGTGGTCGAAGGTGGTCGTGATAGTCTTCTCCACATGTGAGAGTGGCAGCTGCTGAGCTGTGCCGTGTTGCCGAACCGGGACTTGATCTGCATTCCAGCTGACCAACCGTGTGCCCTTGCAACGCGCCTGGAGCATCAGTACTCGTGTGTTGAGGGTGTGCCTGAGCTCGTTGCGTTTCAACATCACACGGGGCTCAAGGTCAGTGAGGGCTCAAGGTCAGTGAGGTCGGGTGCAGCCCACATACCGTCACCACCAGCACGGAGGGTCGAACAACCTTTGTCACCGCCCTGCAGCAGTAAGACAACCATTGTTTCCACGGCTTGAATGCAGCTTG